TGATTTCGATTTTCTTTCTCAGTTGATGGTTTCGTATAACGCTTCAACGTCGCCGGGTGACCGCTCCATTTTCGAGGCGCTAGTTTTGCTTGAAGACTCATACGAAGTGAACCTAGGGCAAGTTATTTGCACTTACAATAGTATTTAGATACAATAAGAAGTTCCACGTCATAAAATTTTAGCATAATTTCTCCATTGGTTTGGGGTGACAAGTCGGCTGAAATCTATAAGAAGCGTGACCAGTTTGGAGTAACATTGAACCGTACCACTCCAGACCAAGTGAGGAGTTTAAGCTCCTTATTTTGCTATTCTTGCACGTCGATTTAGATACTCGGACTCTTGGATGGCTTGCAAATGTGGAAAACGGTGTTGAACCACTCAAAATCACATAGGGAAGCGAATGAAGAAAAAGTCCCCATCTTATACGATGTGCGATTTCTTTTACGTCTTTTTCTCAGTCTGATGCATCCAGCTTCCGAGGTGAACTTCATTTTCTATTTCTTACCAAACTTTTATAGATATCTTTCTATTTTCCGTTAATGTCTAGCTCACAAAGCTTTCCTATTGCAACTAGTTCCAACTGTATAGCTCCTTTTCGGTTTTCCTCCTTTAGGCTTAGCAGATCTTTTCTTGTATCAAATTAACTTTCAAGCTGAAATACCGCACCTTTGTCGAGCAGAATGGACTATCTCTTACGTTTTCATGTACGTCTTCCAAGGATTTTGTGATACGCAAATTGGCTTATTGTGTATTGCAAAAATTCCTTTCTCTTTTGCAGGTTTGTTGCTTATTTTGCTTTCTCTTATGGTGGCAAATCTTGTAATGATGTGTTACTTCGAGCTTTAGGAACTAGACGTCGACACCGCTGATGATCGCTACAAATTCTTGTACATCTATATCTTACGGCTCTTCAAGCAAAGCATTGAAAATGATGCTCCAAGACTCCCACATAGTAATTTTTCTTTCTTAAGTTTTGCCAAGGCTCATCCTTTCTCTATTGTATCCTCAAATACCTTTCTTACTTACCCGTTATGGTCCTTTGCGAAACTTTCAAAAAGTGAAGAATTAGTTTTTTGTAAAACGTAGTTATTGTCAGAAGTAGGTCATTGTGCTGAAGAGATCAGAATTTTTTTTCTCCTTGAAAATTCAAGAATTTTGATAAGCAAGACTTGTTACGAGACAATTTATAACGGTTCACATGAAAATCGTTTACCGGCCTCGCATAATTTACAAAAATGTTGCGGGCGCGAAAGTTTACACTTAATAATGCAATTCTTTTCTTTGCAGTCATCTCCCACTTTTTTGCCCGTGTATCAAAACTAGTCTTACATCCTGAATCGCCCGTATACACTGCCGTTCTTTCCTTTCTGAGCTTGAAGCCAGTGATCGATTTGAACAACGTAAGTCACATATTCGTCTAAATTTAGTCTCTAATCTTGCTGTTCAGGTGCCGGAACTTTACAAGCTTCTTCTTAGTACTTCTACTGAGCACTATAAACAGGAACGGGAATGGATCCTTACACTTATATCGGAGGGGCTTATCGAGCCGATGGATTACAACCTCCTTCAAAATCGGTTATTTCAAATATCAAGCTACTTACGCTCTACCGCCCAAATTTTTTTGTCCTCCTTAAAGATTTTTCTGGGAACATTTAGATCTGGAATTAAATTACTGTTGTCGTTGTTTTCAACATGCATGGTAGATATGGTCACACGTCGTTTGATCCTTAACATTCTCAAGGCTGCTGTGCAAATGTCATCTGTTGCGCATGATCTCTTTTATAGGATGAATCTACATTCATGGATTGCTTCTGTTATTGATGTGAGTATTGTTTAAAGGGTGGATCACCGTGCATCTTATCATAATGTGAATTCACGCTCAAATTTCTCTCACCTACATGTTTACTTCTACT